GAAACTAGGTTAGTCTCCCTTAGACTTTTTCATTCCCCTTTTGCATTTTTAAAACTAAACTTCTTTTTCTTTATCAACTTCTCATAAAACACTCTAACATTACAAACCATTTTTCAAGGTAAAAAAAACAAACTAATTCAAACTTCTTTTGTCACTTGGTTTTTCTTTTGAAAACTCTTTTCACAAACGAATATGTTTTAGCCATTCCAACACGAAGCAAACTCAACGACTTAAGCCTCTTCAGTTTTCAACCAACAAGTCAATGTTCCAAACATTTGGAATGTCCAACACATCATTCCCATAAAAAAAACACACAACAAACAAAAAATATTTTTGAGCCGAACTACGACACTCTGATTCCTTAAAGGGACACGTAGGCATACGATCATGGAGCCGGACTGAGCAAAACTTTGTAAACATTCCTTCTTTTCCCCGTGTTTTCTTTCTCATGCATTCCCTCTTAGCATTAGGCTTTAGACTTAGATTTTTCATACACTCTTAGATTAGAATAACAAGAGTAGATCCTGTGGAGTACCATAGACGTGAGGAGTGCTAATACCTTCCATTTGAGTAGATCCTGTGGAGTACCATAGAATTTCATTAAATGAAATTAACCGTTTTATGGGTAAAATGAAAAACTCGTGAGTTGCCTATCACACAACGCTTTGTTTAATGTTGGTAGCTCGATAGCTCAGGAGTGTAAGCACTCATGGTGGTTCTTTCGAGAATGAATTTCCGATTTAAATTTTAATAATATTCGGTTTCCATGGCCACTTATCAAGCCATCTCTCATATCCCTCGCCTTTTCTTTTCTTCCTTCTGTAGGGTGGTTTTTGCTTCAGAGCTTGTGGCAGTGGTTTTGGCTCTATCCTGAGTATCTATTTTTCAAGTTTGGGTTTAATTATTTCATCCACCATCTCAAAGGATAAACTTCCCCTCTTAAAGCTAATGATTTCCCTAATTTCAGTGTCCTCTAATTTTCCTTTTTTATGCAGGACCTCATGCAAAGGTGCGTTAGTATGGATATTTTCCAATACATTCACATACCTTTTGGATTGGGAGTCTACCTTAGCTTCCACAAATATTTAGGGGAAAGAAAATGTGGTTTATATGGAGGAGGAACAATATAAGGTGTTTCCTTCTCTACTTCTTTGATAACCTTCCTTCCGGGTGGTGTCGGTAGATTTTTCTGAATCTCTACTCTTTTCTCACCAGAAATTTCCTCAACCTCATTATCACTCTCCTTACGATTTTCAATTTGTCCTTCACTACTAGTTGTTACAACATCCGCATGTCTCTTAGGGATGGGTCTTATAGGTTTCTATACAAGTAGGGAGATTTGAGTCTCTCATGCCTTGTTGCTAGTCGCGAGGCACTCGACTATAGTGTTCAGCTGCCTAAGAGTTTCATTGTTACAAAGGCTTTGATTTCTAAATTCTTTATTCTAGAGAGTTTATGTTGACACAAACCTCCTTATCATAGATTCTAGCCTACAAAGATTTTGCGTCTCAATAAAATTCTCCATTATCATTTCGAGGTCAAATTTATGGGAATGTTGTGGTTCCTCAAAATACTGGGACTGGTAATTGTAGAGAAAATTTTGGTGATACATAGTAATAGAGACAAGAGTGCCTTAGTCTATACGGTGCAAAAACAGAGTTACAATATTTGACGTAATTGATCCCGGACAACAACGCCAAAAACTTGATCGGTGGAATCTGCAAATAAACCTATCGAAGTAATATAAAAGATTGTCAAAACCACATAGACCAATTGTCGAACCTACCGTTTTCTATCGTTACAATGTTTATTTAAGGCTAAAATGAAATTCCATGAACAAGTAATTTGTTGAATGTGAATGAATGTGGTTTATGTCATGTTTAGTTCTTTCATGTTTATGCTCTATATTTAACCCTATGTTTGATCATCTTAGTGTTAAATATAAGTTTTTTAATTTGCAGTACTGCTTGGTAAATCGATATTGGGAACTAACATGGTTAAATAATGAGTACACATATATTGCTTACTTAACAAGTTTAGACATAAGCGATTAGAGACATAGTTGAAAATAAGACAAATTTTACTTAAAGTGTAATGATGCTAATATCAACTTATATATAAGAAAATCTTAGTGAATTATTACATATTTTCACGTTGTTGAAAACCACCACAAGACTTATCTCTAACCACTCACAACATGACATGACACAACATCACATACTCTAGATAAAATAATGAAATGAATCATTTTACACCTTTGTAAAATTTGATCTAAACTCATTATCATTTTATACTATAACCTTGTTACATGATATTCAATATGATTATCTCTTTTACTCATAAACTACTTTATTTGTTTCAAATAATTTATAAAATGTTTAAGCACAATGCTTATGGAATCAAACTTTTCTTATCATTTGTTATTGATTTGATTATGTATACTTGCACATATTTTATTCCTAACAACACCTCTTATCTGCCCTATATAACCTTGTGTTTGAGATGGATTTGGCGTATGTTTGTTATGAGGCGAACAAATTTGATTTAGAGTAAATTAATTTTTGTAAAATTGATTCTAATTAAATGTAAGTTGAAAGTAAAGTGATTTATATATGTAAAATTAGGTTTAAATTCAAAAATTATAAATTTTACTTACAAGTAGAATTAGTTTTATTTTAGAAGAACAAAACAATTCAAAATCATTCTAAAATCAATTCTACAACTTCAAAATTGCTCTTGACTCTTCCAAAAAAAAAAATCAAACTTAAAATTAAAACATTCAGACACTCAAGTTTCATTCCAAACTCATCCCATTTATAACAATCAAATTAGACAAATTTGCTAATTTTCAAAATTTTCTTAAATCACACTATACACAAAAGAATTAAATATAGTATATTATATAATTAGACATAAAGATACCAAAATATTATATTTATAATTTTATTTACAAATATTTTTACATATATTTAATATTTTATGTAAGAAATTATTTGTTGTTAATATCAAAATTAAAGTGCTTAAATTTTTATGTTTTTTTTTTAAATAGTGAATGGATAATAACAGCATTATTAGTTCGTTAAGAAAAAACAAGTAATAGAAGACATAGTACTAATATGATTTGTTTTATATATATATATATATATATATATATATATATAGGGGACATATCAAGTGAGAAAGGGGTCCCTTATATGAGAGTGAGAGGAGTAATTATAAGCCATTGGATCAAAATTTATGACTAAGATTAGGAGAGAGAAGAAAGAGTAAAAAAAAGTTAACGTAATAAATGAGGAGAGAGAAGTAAGATTTAGAAGAAAAAAAATAACTTCATCAATGAATCTCAACCATTCAATGTAATCTAAAGGCTAAAAAGAAACCCTCTCACTCTCACATAAGAAAGACTTTCTCATGAGATATGGCCCCTATATATATATATATATATATATATATATATATATATATATATATATATATATATATATATATATATATATATATATATATATATATATATATATATATATATTAAAAGCACTAGAATATCAATAACAACCAATTGACCAAGTGGGAAAAAAAACATATTCAACTATGATAGTTGTATTTTGACCCGAATTTGAATATATTGGTATGCGACTTCTATTTTTTCAAAGAATAGCGCGTATCCGAATTTTATCTATTTAAAATTTTAAAGGGTTAAATAGACAAACTCTCCCATGTAATGTTAGCGAATTCAGGTTTTAGTCTCTCATAAAGTTTTTTTTTTTAATTCCCTCCTTATGTTATGTAGATTCCCTCACATCACTCCCATTAGCCAGATGTCATAGAATCTTTAGTAACAATTTGAAATTTTAGCCGCATACTATTTCTATATACATACATAGCATTTTTATTTACTCATCTGCTTGCCCAATTGGTATTTACGTTTTCAATTCTTTATACCCCTTACAAAATAAAGATTTATGTGAAGAAGTTTGTGTTGCGAAGAGGACGAATCCTTAGGGTTCGTTTTCCCCTTGTTTTGTCTGTTGTTGAGGTCGATTATTTTGTAGCATCAATCACCTACAGTCGTCCGACCGTCATGGGTGGAAGCAAGTGTTCATCAACGAGTAAGGGTTTTCCAAGATGTGGCTGCAACGAAACCATGAAGTTGTGGGTATCTAACACCCTCGAAAATCCAAGCAGAAAATTCTGGAAATGCGGAAATTCCATGGTGAGCTGTTTACAAGGTTGTAATTCCTCTTATATGAACCTTTTCAGTTATTTATGTTTTAATATTGGGAAAAAATGCAGAATGATTGCCGATTATTTTTCTGGGACGACATGGTTAGCGAGGATGAAGTGAATTCATCCAGATGTTGCGAATGTGACATGAGCAAGGGTTATTTGCGAGAATTTTTGAAGGAGATTGTTAAGGAGAGATCAAACAAGGTGGAAAAATTGAAGAGAAAGGTTGCATTGGAAAAGACAAAGAATTCCCGGATGATGATTGCAATTGTTATGTCATGGATGTTTTTTGCGGTTGTGTATGATTTTAAGTAGTTATTATGGTTTGTAATTGAAACTTGGTCTGTCATAGTTTGTAATTGTAAGACAAACCAGTTTGTGTTGAATTAAAGTCTAGTTTTTATTGTTCATTTCAATGGTAATTGGAATACAAATCAATTTTTGTTGAATGAAAGTTTAAGTTATGTACAATTTAGTTCAAGTTACATTCATTGACAATGAATTTACATAAAATTTTGACAACATAGTTGAAATAAGTTAGATTAACAAAAGCACACTTGGTGCATATGTCTATTACATCATTACCAAAAGGACACAAAAGGCACACTTGGTGCATATGTCTATTACAACATTACCAAAAGAACACAAGAGGCACACTTGATGCATATGTATATTACAACATTACCAAAAGGACACAAAAGGCACACTTGGTGCATAGGTCTATCACAATATTAATACAAGCAAATAAAAGACACATAAAATAATTAGGTCTATTACAAGATAACATAAAACTTAGTCTCTAATTTTTTGGTCTTCCATGTCTTCATAAACCTTGTTTTCACTCCTAATTTGGAGTCTTTTGAACCTGACTTCTCTCCAACTTCTGGTATGATAATTGGCTGCTCACTAGATCCTGAGCCTGTAATTGGTTTCTTAAACCAACTCAACTTGATCCTTTCACTTTGCCTTCTTTTGGTAACTGGCTTCTTTCCTTTCTGTTTCTTTGATTGCCTGGGAATTGAGTTAGCCACAACAGATCCAGTCCGAATAATAACAATTGGCACAACTATGTCAATCTTAGTCTGAGAATCATTGGACAATGCAGAATCGGTAACCATTGTACTATGTTCATCAGTAGGAACTGAATTCTCTCCAGCATTATGATCTGCACTATGTACATCGGTTTGAACAGATTTCTCTCAAGCATTATGATATGCACTATGTACATCAGTTTGAACAAAATTATCTCCAGCATTATGATCTGCACTTTATACATCAGTTTGAACTGTCCTCTCAGCTTCAACAGAATTTTTAACTTTCCTCTGCACAAATAATAACATGTTAGATTAGTCACAAACAATTTTTTACAACATAATGAATTTTGAGAAACAATTATACCTTTCTTTTCAGAGCATCAGCATCTAAGTCTCCCAGAGAATGTTCCACAAATAAATGTCCAATGATATTCATTGCACTAAAGAATGATGCAAATCGTATGCATCATCATCTTTTTTTATCAAAATATATCTTTCTTGAATCTCTAAAACTTTAGTCCATAAATGAAAAGTTTCATTCTTATACCCCCACCCACTCACCAAGTTCAGAATACGATCCATTGTCCAATTAGTAAATTCAAGCCCATTTACAGTCGAATCAACCCCGCCTCTGTAAATAATATCAGTTGGATTAACTCTAATAAATTCACCTCATGGTGAAAAGTAATAGTAAAATGTTGAAAATCCTGTGAATAAATCAAACTCAGTAATCATAATGTTCTCACCATATTACACTTTAACTGTGATGAAGTTTCCAAATCAATATACATTAGACATTGCAAGCTTCGTCTTTGTCGTCAACTGATGCCTCGTCTTCGTCGCCGGAGACTCGTCCTCTTTGCAGCACAAACATCTTCACATAAACCCTAATTTTGTAAGGGGGTATAAAGAATTGAAAACGTAAATACCAACTGAGCAAGCAAATGAGTAAATAAAAATGCCATGTGTGTATATAGAAATAGTACGTGGTTAAAATTTCAAATTCTTACTAAAGATTCCGTGACATCTGGCTAATGGAGTGATGTGAGGGAATCTACATAACATAAAGGGAGAATTAAAAAAAAAAACTTTACGAGAGACTAAAACCTGAACTCGCTAACATTGTAGGAGGTTTGTATATTTAACCCAACTTTAAATGTATATATCAATGAAAAACAGTTTCACATATGGTTTTTCAGCTTAGTAACGAGCAACACTAATAAAGTCATCATCTTCAAGAACTTGAACATCTTTTTCACCAACGAAATTCTCTCTACCTATTTCCTTCACCAAATTCACAAACTCTCTTCTCTTTTCAACAGGAACTGGAACATGTGGTAGCCTGAAAACTGGCTTAATAACTCCAAGTTGAGCAAGTGCAGTGTTCAAAGCAATCGGTGTCGGCACATGAAATAGCCAATCAAACAATGGTGTCAACTTCACATTCAATGAAGGATTTTTACCTTCAAACATGAGTTCCTTCATCAAACCAGGAATCAAGTTTCCTGCAACCGAGTGAAGACCGGTTGCACCACATTCCCATCTAGCTTCATGGCTTTCTTCATCGTTACCGGTCCAAACATGAAGTCCTTTACTCGTATACATTTTCACCCGGTCATTTCCGATACACTCCTTGATGCCAACCAAGTTAGAATTTTCAGCGAATTTTTCAACAACACTAGGAGGAATATCATGAGCAGACCTGGTTGGCACGTTGTATATAATCACAGGCCCGATTGAAAGCACGCTGTTGTAGTGAGCAATCAAACCGTCTGACGAGGTTTTTCCATAGTAAGGGTTTATATGCATTGCTGCATCCATTCCAACGGCGAATCCTTGCTCGGTGGCAGTAATTGCTTCTGATGTGCAGTTGCTTCCAGCGTTACCGATAACCTTAACTTTGTCACCGAAAGAGTTAACTGTGTGTGCTATAAGCATTATTTGTTCATCCCAGGTCATTAAATAGCCTTCACCGGTTGTTCCCGCGACAAGGATACCTTCTACACCTTTTGCAATTTGCATACTCACCAAGTTATCATATGTATCGAGATCGAATTGGCCATTATGTAGGTATGGAGTCTTGACAGCCGTTACCATTCTCAGACTCCTCAACTCTTCCATCGAGGTCCTATAGATACATTCGAGAGGTCAAAAGGAGAATAAATCAAACAAGAAGCAACACATCGAATAGTCAAACCCACCTTTCTTTTACCCCTTTGGTGCTCATTGAGCGGTCAAAAGCGGGTAGCGCATTTGCCATTGGTGAAGACTTCCGGAATGAAGTGCTGCATGACATAAAAAAATATTAGTATATGATAAACCACAACAAATTGGATGGATAAATGCAAAGATTTGGTATATTTCTACAGCATAGTGGATCCAAGTGTGCCAACCCCAACCCCAACCCCAACCCCACAAGTATGAATTTATGTGGCATTTATGGTGCACGACTTAAGTTTTGTGTACCAGTACTGTACTGTCACTAAACAAATCATTGTGGAAATGCTTCTCACAATCATTTTCAAGCTGTACTAGTACTCCAGAAATACAAACTTAACTGCAGAAAGGACAGACAACTAATGCACGACGTAATGATTACATAGAGACAAAATTAAGAAAGTAAGAAAAATTGCCGAAAAAGTGAAGTTTTAAGAGGGAATGCACATTGATTACTACTCTTATGACAGAGACAATTCAAAGTAAATAATTGCAATTCTTTCCACTTTACAACAAACACAAGACAAAACAAATTGGCCCAGTTTCCTGTTCAAACAACAAAAAAAGAAATTTTAGAAAACAATCTGAACTAAAAGTTCACCAAAAAGTTAATTTCATGAAAACCCATAACAAATATAAATCTAAGAAAAACAATGAGAAATAAAGAATTTATGTTATCATGATATGAAAAAAAACCTGAGGTTACTGGGAGTAAGTGAAAGGAAAAGTCGGGAAGTGAGTCCTCTCGTTATGGCCATTAGTGGAAGAAGTTCTGAAGAGGTAGCGGATGAAGGTCCAGAGAGGGAATAAAGAGAGCGGTGTGATGACTGGGACAGGTGAGAGGATCGAGATGAATATGATAAAAATAGGAACAACGGGAGTATAGATAAGTATGTTCTTTTAGGGACTTCCAACTGCACTTAGAAATTAGGAGTTGTAGCATAAGTTATACCCTACGAAATTGAGTATAATAATTGTGTTAGTTTGTCGTATTCCCGTGAGATTAATCTAAAACCAAATAAACACAATAATTATCCGTGAAAATTAGGGATTTAAATAAAGCTTGATTGCCTTCAATTTGATGAATTTTTTAAAGTAATTTTTTGTGTTGAAACAGTTTGTTCGACAAAGATAAGGGAATATCGAAATAGTGTCTATTGAATGGGAGGTTGTCAAGCCGAAGAGCTTGTGGATCGAAGCAAACTAAATACAAATTTGATTTGTTTTAGATTTAGATAGATTTGATTTAAATCTAAAATAGATAGATTTGATTTAGTACTAAAATAGGTATTTTGAGTTTTATAGTTTTGGGGTTTGGTTTAGGAGCAAGCTAACCTAAATTTATAAATAGAGGGAGCAACCCCTAATTTTATAATCAAGACAATTAAGTCAATTCATTGTAATCACAAAATTTTCAGTTACAAGTGATTAATAAAGTTTTTCACAGTTTGTGAGCAAAGAGAATCTCTGCAGAAAATAATTGTCTTCTTTCTTTTCTTTTCTCATAATTCATTGTCATTGTGTGGTGATATCAATCATGTTCATCAAGATTGGTAGAAATTCATCATAGATATTTGGTGCATTTCCAACATCTGGTATCAGAGCTTGGTTAATCGATTCAAAGAAAGTATCGATCAAGAACGATTGAGGAAGAAGAAGAATTCACGATGGCGAGTTATGGGAATGCAAATTATCCAGTAACTTTACCAATTCTAAAAGTAGACAACTATGAGAATTGATGCAAACAGATGAAAGTTTTATTCAGGTGTCAAGGTCTTTGGGATCTTGTAAAGGATGGATTGGAAGCGCTTGGAGAAAACGCTTCAGAAGAAGAAAAGAAGAAACACATAGAATCTGAGAAGCTAGTTATAAAGCACTCTTTATAATTCATCAATGTCTGAGTCTAGAAAATTTTGAAAAAGTGAGTGTTGTACCCCAAAATTTGCCTTTCATTTTGCAAGATTTTTCTCACAAAAATCTTACTGGGTCAAGGCTGCACAAGCACAATTGGATCATTTTGGGGCTCTCAAGCATCAAATCAAAGAAGAGCAAGTTTGTATGGATTTTTATGTTTCGGTTAGGCATTTGACTTTTTTTAAACTAGATTAATTCCTATGCTTCGATTGGGCATTTGGTTCCTTTCAAGTAAGCTTAAAATCCCAAGCTTCGATTGAGGCAATGGCCTTCTGTATGCTCTTTTCATGCTGGCTTCAATTGGGCAATGTTTTCCTTTGAAGACAGTTTCCTTTGATTCACAAGGCAGTGACCTCCTGCATGCAAGCCTCGTTTGGGCATTTAGGCCTCCTGCATGCAAGCTTCGATTACACCAAAAACCTCTTACAAGTTGACTTTTGGTGCACGTGGCAATGACCTCCCGTAGCTTTCCTTCAATTCAGAAGGCGTTGGCTTTCTACTAGTACCCTTCGATTCAGAAGACAAGTTCCTTCAATTTATAAGGCAGGAACTTCCTTCATGCCAGCAGGCACAAGGCAGTGGCCTCCTGCATACATCCTTCGATTGCACCATTTGCACCCCACATGTTTTCTTTGATTCACAAAGCAGGGACCTCCTGCATGCATCTTTCGTTTGGCCATATGATCTCTTGCATGCAAGTTTGAGTGGGCAATGGTTCTTCATGTAAGCTTTCGTTTGAGCAAATGCCTCTTGCATGTTTTCTTGGAGTCACAAAGTAATAACCTCCTATAGCTTTCCTTCGTTTCAGAAGCCATTTGCCCTTTGCATGATCCCTTCTATTCACAAGAGCCAAGACTCCCTTCAGGCCAGTATGAACAAGGCAAAAAGCTCCCCCATGGCTAACATCCACAAGGCAATGTCTCCCAAAAAGAATTGACTACTTTCATGCTAGT